ATCTGTAATTATTTTTATTTTGGGCCCTTATTTGTAATTATTTTCAAATTTGGGCCCTTATTTGTAATTTCCCCTTAATTTTATTTGTGTCACCGAATATCGTCAAATATTCATTGAATTAATCAGTGAATAACAAACATATTCGAAACTCGATTTGGTGAAATAATTACGCAGATACGTTGCATGCATTGTACGTAAGTACGTAAGCGTATATGGAGGTTGTTTGTTCAAAGTTCTGGAATATAAAAGGAAATGATTTCAAAAAAAGCACAGGAAGAATTAGTAAACAAGGAACAGTTCAATAACAGTGGGTGCCTCTTTTTATCACATGATTTGTCTATAAGCAATAATTTCGATGCACTTTTGCCCAAGATGCTAAAAATTTTACTGACGAAGTCATAGCCCATTCATTAAGTAAAAATTCCAGCTGATGATTTTGCTATAGACTATGTTGGCTAACATTGCTTAATGCCGGCCCAGTTCCGATGCATTCTGACACGAATTTTGGTGATCCCTCTGTAAAAAATCGACATGAAGGGTTATCATATAGCAAGATACCCATGCAAAGAATAGTTTCTTTTGGGGTTTTTGCCTTGAAAATCACCTTCCAACATTTCCTATCAGGCTAATTCGGACAAAAACAAACCCGAGTACCGGTTCATGTTTATATGTTAATCATCTTTTAGCTTTATAGATTCAATAGTTTATCGAATAACTATTGAATCAATAAAGGTAAAAGATGATTAAGGGTGATTTTCAAAGACAAAGACCCTAATATTACTACGGACATTTTTTATGAAATCGATTCTGCTTGTCTTACAGATGAACACAAATATTTTGGATATAATATCTAAATTTCTTTGGTTTTTAATTTTATTAGGCCACTATTAGTGTTGAGTCATTAACTGTTAATGCATAAACTAAAATTTATATTAAACACATTTTGCCAAATTTGCCAACTTTATTTAATCGATATATATATATATATATATATCAGTATCGTTTTAATATAATACATAATGATTTCTTAAACGTCTTGTAGGAACGTCTTGTAGGCAAATTTGCCACAAGCGATATGTGATATGTGATGGATTTATCTATATTAAATTATTGTACATGTTTATAATGTTCGTGAGGATAATGAAAAGTATAAAAAATGTAGGATAATGAATGTTTTTTCTGTTTTACATTCTATTCTGTTTATAACCTTAAGTTATAATCCGTAAAATATATAGTTGAGGATTTAGCATATATCAAAGCAAATACGTAGATATTAAAGGTCCAAGGAAAAAGAGAAACATATTTAAGCATATTTCTTTAAAAGTTCTTTAATGAAAAAATAAATTTCTTGTCAGAAGCTTGATCCTGAAGTAATAACGTCCGGGAATTGAACTGCCTGATTTTCTGCTTCTTGTTCTCCAGCATTACTAGAAAACAGATTCGCACCTTTAGTTAAAATATCATACTTTTGTTCGGCAGTTAAGTTATCAAAGGATGCATTTACAGGAATATTAACGTTTTGAGGTGTCAAAGGTTGACCTCCGATTACTTGATTTATAGGTTGATTCATAATAGCGATTTTAATTTTTTTACTAAAGGTTTTGACTTAAAAAAAAAAAAAAAGTGAAAGCAAAAACCCAGGATTCTTAAATAATTTTTAAATACACAAAATGATAATTATTTATATTATAAAATAAACTTCATTTTAGAAAAAAAAAATCTATATCTATATCTATAATATAATCTATAGCATATATGCTTGTAATTTATAATACAGTTATATAGTACGATATATATACTTCATTTTAGAAAAAAAAAATCTATATCTATATCTATAATATAATCTATAGCATATATGCTTGTAATTTATAATACAGTTATATAGTACGATATATATTAAGTAATAGTCGTGTAATATAAAAAAAAAAATTCAGTAGTACGCTATATATAGTTTTAATAAAATAAATAATTCAGTAATAAAATAAAATAAAATAAATAATGGTAGTTGTATAAAAAAAAAATAATAAATAAATAATACGGTAGTAATTGTATATTTAATTTCCGGCATATATATATGTACAACAACAGTTAAAATAATTACAACGTACATATCATTCGGAATATATATCCAATTTTAAGTGTTTTTGAAAGTTAGTGCAAAGTTATTAGATTTTTTTTTTTTATAGGTTAATTTAGGACAATCTAAGCAGCATACAACATATATTAGTCAAAATCGGAAGGTGCCGCCGATAGTTGGTGGTTATCCAATATGTACAAGTCACTAGAAAGTCACTAGATAACCACCCCAAAAAAATTTCCTGCACGTGATGGTGCCAATCAAATCACAAGATCGGGTGTAACGTGAAATTCACGTTTCTTCCGATTTTCGTATAGGAAACCGTCGATGCTCGAATAAAAAAATTCTTTGCGAAATTTTAGTATATATTAGATCCTTCCCTAACCCTAATCTAGCCCTAACAATAAGGTTTTAATGCTTTAAATCTTGCGCTTTATTCGATTGTTTTGATGAAATCTGATCACGCGCGGGAAATTTTTTGGGGTGAGCTGCGTAAACTGATAACATGATGCAATGCGAGTGTAATTGATTCTATATGAAATTACGCAGATTATTCACGCCGGGCATTGAGTTATGTATTCAGTTCCAAACTTTCCATATATGTGATGTGACCTTAGATTAGTGTTGTTAGTCGATCGACTAATAGTCGACTAACTGAGCCATCGGCTAAGTCGTCGGCTTAGTCGACTAAGTC